GGAGGGGAAAGGAGGGGGGAAGGAAAAAGCCTGTGCACAAGACATGAACTAGAAAAATTAAAACTCCATCAAAATGTGACACCTTCTCATTGCCTGCATAGCCCCCTACAATCCTTGTGACACCCCTCCCCTGAAAACAGGAATTAGTGCTGCAAATGCATTGATGGGAGGCTGCTTTTCACACCAAGGACTCCATTTCAGCTGCTGTCGGGGCTCCAGCACAGTGAAACTGTAGCCTGCATGGGCACATAATCAGCTTCACGAGCTCCTCCCACACTCCCAGAGCTCCTTCCAAACCAGAACCTCTGAACTACAAATGCTCCCAACTCCGACTGAACCTCAGCCAGCATTGTTAACCCATTGTTAGCTTTAAAAAAGCTGGCAGGAGGGGCTGGCTTCAGAAGCTCCTTTGGATACGTTTGAGCCTCGCTCAAGATTTGACAGGAGACTTTTAAACGTGTAATTACATAAAGTCGACACGCTCAGTTCTGCTCCGCTGTATTGTATGAAATGGGAATCAGATGTTTAACGTTGATGGGAACTAGACACATCCTAAGGAGCTGTAATTTAAAGTCGAGTGGCTGTTATGCTTAACTCCATTAAACTTTCATTGTCAAGACCTCTTGGCTCCCTCCACATCTCAGGAGTCTGGTTTAATGGCTTGTTAAAAACAGCACTGACCTATTAAATGCGTCACTTAAATACAACCGTAAAGTAAGCTTTTAAGTAAACAATCCAACATTTAAAACCAATCCACCAAGTAAATCATTTGGTAATTCTGGAATACTAACTGCCCCCAAAATGTAGTTGGCTCAGGGTACAACTTCCTGGTCAGCTTTTTTGAGAGTGGTAACTACCCATGACAAAGGTGTCTTGTGCCAAGCTCACCATTTTGAAGATACAGGATAATAAAGCTCTGTTTAGTACAAGCGTCTAATCTGTCACTGTTTTATTTACTGCTAGTTTACATAAGGGTTGCCTCCTTTAACATGCTGTAAGCATTTCCTCTCTTTGTCCTTGCAGGAGACACCACACATGGAACAACCCTGTCAATGATTTACAAGTGACACAAGAGGAACAGTGAAGAGATCTGGATTTTTTTTAAAGATACATTCAAATCCTCCATCTGATTATGGGTTACAGGAAAAACTGTTTCCTGCCTACTTGGATACTTGGAACAATAGCTCAACAAAAGTTCCTAAAAGAGCTTTCTTGCCCAGCTGTGTTTACCTGCAAGTGGTCTCCAGGATGTCAGTGGAAAATAAAGCTACTACTGGTTTCTTATAAGAGAACTGAGCAGGAGATCAAGTTTGGCTGCTTGAATTCAGCATTAGTAAATTAATTACAGACTTCTGGCTTTGCTGGACTGTAGCTCTGGATAATCCAGTGGTGAAAAAGCAGCGTGTGTATTTAAGTAGTTCTTAGCCAGGTAAATATAATTTGCCAATTAAACAACATTTATTAATCCAGAATCCAGCAAGTGAAGAACCTGCTGGGGTGACTGCTGTGGTCTTCCACTGAAATTCTTCAATTAAGTCCCACTGTATCTGGCCAAAACATTCTGGGACAAAGTTTGCCTAAGTTGCAGATCTACCCAATACAGGCTGCCTCTGTAGACTGCTTTCATAAGATATTTGAACTGTGCATCAAATGTACTAGGTTCAAAGCAAAAACAGCCATGTGCTGGACTCCCTGCAGCAGTCAGTGAAATATCATAACTTCTAGGCTTACCCTATTCCAGTCTCTCTCTTTTTAAAACCATAACCACAGAAAAAGCAGCTAGACCAAGTTCTCCACATGTGTACCCAAAGCCGCTGTGATTGCTTTTGATAAAGTTAATGAATTTGTACAGCTCTTGCTATGTAGCACCTTCACAGTCAGCTCCAATATCAAGCTTGTCAACCAACTGCAGGGAGTGTCAATGATCATCAAGGATACTGGTTTTCATTGTTAAAAAAATGCCAAAATTCTGATAAAAAAACCCAAATCTACATTTTTCCATGACTGAAATGAAATGCCACCATACATATAGGTATCAGATGAATTTATTTTATTGATATATTTACAATTTTAAAGCAATTTGGAAGCCTACCAGTGCCTCAATCGTTATAATAAAATAAAGTGTAAATACCTGCATATTTTGGCCTTTGATTTTGGTTTTTTCCATGGGGAGAAAAAAAAAAAAAAGAGCTCCCTTTACCCCCTTCATTCACCAGAATGTGGGTCCAGCTGCAGCTCCTCCCCCCCAACCTGCTTTGTGGCACCCTGCTGGTGCCCCTCGTACCCAACCCGCAGCCCCCTGCCCCACCCCAGGCCTGCCAGAGGAGGCCCCAGCTGCCCCCCACCCTGACTCCTCCAGGCCCTATTTACCCCAAAGGCTGTGGGAGGCAAAATGAGTCTGAGTAAGCCCTGGCCCTGCCCTCTGGACAGGGCTTGGGTTTTGCACTCTTTAGGCAAGCAGCTCATTGCAGGCTGGAACGCTTGTCAGCCTGCAGAAGGCTGTTTGCAAAAGGGGAAAATCCACTTTTTTCCCCATGCAGGAAAAATGGAAAACCCAGATCCCTGATGATCATGAAGTACTGCTCAAGACAGAAGGCTTAATTACAGATCTATGGAGAGCATTCAGATCTTAGGAAACCCAAGGGCACCGACCATGAGAACCACACCAGATCCTCTACCAAAGCTGAGAGGGATGCACTGCAATCTTGATTTGTGGAGTAAGAAAAGTTCCTCGGCAGTTCCCTGCTCTTGGACCAGCTGTGTGAAGAAATACCCCCAGATTACAGTCAAAGCAGCCCAAAGGGCTGAACAGTACCTGGGCATCAATGACAACTAGATGCATTGGAGCTATGCCCCTCACTGCATCAGGAGGAAAGTGGGGCTGAAGTGATCCTCTTGGATCCCTACATGCTAACATAACAGTGCAAAGCAGCCACATCATGCCAGAAGGAATGGCTATTTACTAGTAAATTAAACCAGCTTGTTATCAAACTGTCAAGATTATACATGGGAAACCCAGGATTACACTTTTCAGGGTGCAACTATAGTAAGTTAAACGTTACCTTACAAACTATACACTGCATTTATTTGCTTTTTAGTTCTTTTAAAGAGATAAGGAGACCAAGAATACAAAACTTTAAGCACTCATTAAATGAATAATTCAGTCTCTTAATTAAAAATTACAGTAGATTTCATATGTAAAACAAACACCTCTAGGAAAATATTAAAGGGAATGTTTTATCAAATAATTTAAGCAAGCACATTTTCCCATCCAGAACACTTGTGAAATAGCGCAGCAGACGCATATAAAAATAAAAAAAAAATCAACTGGGACGTGAGGTTACTTCACTGCCTCCTGAAGTCCTCTGTAGAGCAGAGGCTCCTGCTGGTAAAGTCTATACTTGAATGCTAAAGCAAAAAAAAGTCTTTACATCTAGTTTAACCAAATAATGAATGGACAAGTTCAGGGAAAATACATTTCACTTGATCCCCTAGCTGCTATTTGTATCAGTTCATGTTAAAAGCATTTACCTTTCCAAAATGTAACAGCTCAAGCAGTTCTCTCACCTAAACCACTGCAGAATACTCCCAATGGGACAGAGACTTGCCCCCTCTCAGTTAACAAATTGCTAATTATAGTTGAGAGGAAAAAAAAAAAAAGAAAAAATTGGTCCTGGGAAATGAGACTTCTTACTAAAGCAATTAATTGCTGTTTAAATGTGCCATGTAGAAGAAGTGTAATTTTAACAGAAATAGATTTTTGTCTGCAGTTCCTTACCAGTTTACTTTACCAACATTTTATTTGCATTATACAGCACTAACGCCACCACATCCTTTCCCACTCCTGAGGCCTGCAGAAAGAAAACGACAAGTATTTTTCTGCACTAGGAAGCTCTATTCACAAATCAAATCCTGATAGGAACTTCTGCAAACCACAAAGGAAACAGGATTCCAGATTTTATCCAAGCTAAAAAACACAACAGGACCCTGTCCTGGAGTTCTTTATAGAAAAACATTTCCCAGGAGATTTAACTGCAGCAGTTATGGTTGCTTATTCTGACATACCATTCCAGCCTCAAAGGGGATAAGACTCAAAGGGATATTGCTGACTTAGTACAGGTGGAGGCAGCCCTTAAAATGTTATTACAGAACAAATATAATGGTACCAATTGCACAGTAAACATGAGTTCGAAAGTTCCCTGAAAGACAACACTTCAGCACTGAAATAAAGGCAGATCTGAATTTTGTTCATGTACCTCATTGTAGCAGACAAGTTTGAAGTATTTGTACACAAAGAAAGGCACCTGACAGGTAACTACAAAAGTTTAGGGAGCTAGGAATTGAACAGTTCACATCAACATTATTCACAGCCTCTTGCAATTTCACTCATACACACACACACACACACACACACACACACACACACACACACACACACACACACACACACACACACACACACACACTCGCCTAAAATGGGCAATTCTAGACTTGACTGCTTATTTATAAACTATATGTGCATTAAGATAGGTTAACGATCCCACTAAGAGACAGATTAAGGGCTAGTTTTACAGCAGAGTCCTGCTGCGCAAATATAATCAGTGCAGCTGTAGAATTGGGATCTCTATAGTGTGTTCGGTTTTCCTATAAAGGTAAGCTGTTAGGAACGGATCAAGCAGCTGCTGTACTACCAAAACCATTTTTTTTTGCAAAGCTTAAATCAGCTGCCATACTTTGAAGAGAGATAAAGCCCTGCCATCTGAGATGGGAGCTTTACAAATACTGCTAACTGCAGGTGAGAGAAAAGTGAAATTTCTAGAAATTCAACACTGAACTAGAGCACCCACTAAGTGCAGTTGTGTGGTCAAATATTCTAGTAGAGGCCTCAAAGCTGTACTACTGAAGTCAGTTTCCCAATAGATGTAAAACACAGTACACGTAGTGCAAAATAAAACTTTGTCCACATCAGCCAGGCCTTAGTTCTTCATTTGACCCCAAACTTGCCTGCTGGCTTTCCTTTACACAGTCCTAGACTTTTGTTTTTGGATACAGATGCGAGATCTTCAGACAAGACGTGTGCATCCACCTTGGCAAAGGGACTCCAGATCCTTGGCAAACACTGCATACGCATTCAGATCCGGTTATGTGTTTAAGGATTGGGTGTAAAATTTTGATCAACTTGCTGCTTATTTTTCAATACAACTACCAATCTTGTTATGATTTACATCAGACCGATGAATTCAGCACCTTCTAACTACAGAGAAAGGCAGTTTGTATGGCTACTGTCCTTACAGAGTAATTTCCATTAAAAAGTGTCTTCCTTACATGGTTTGTCAAAGAAATTAGATGATTCTATAAAGGCAGAAGGTAACTGTTATTCAGTATTCCAACTGGGCATCAAACCTACAATGGCCACTTTTCAGTAGTGTCATTAGTTCAAATGATTCAGTAGCTAAGATTATTTGATTTCTTCTGCCTATAGCGCCTGTTCGGACTGGCTAATTTACAGCATTCCTGAGCCAAGTAAATAGCATGGGTCTTAAACCACACGCAAGGGCCACGAAGATAAAAACAAAAACAGAACAAAAAAACCCAACTTTGAGCTATAACTCTGGTAGACTGCAATAAAACAAGGCTGCACTCTTTCACTGCAACATGATATCCTTCAGATTCTCTTGAAGGATTGTGTCCTTCACAGCATGAAACACAAAGCGGATGTTTTCAGTGTCTATGGCAGTGGTGAAGTGATGGAAGAGTGGCTTACTGCGGTTTCGCCTTTTTCTGTCAAAACACTGCACCAGGTAACGTTGAACATCTTCTAGCCGGTGAGGATCACCCCTGAAGTCCGAGAAATGCTTCTTAATGCTGACAGTCTTTACCTTCTCTACAAGAAGATCCATTTTATTGAGGAACAGGATGATAGAAACATTAAAGAACAGCTTGTTATTGACTATTGTCTCGAAGATGTTCATGGACTCCACCAGTCTGTTTGTGCGCCTGTCTTCCATGAGAACTTGATCATATTCACTAGAGGAGACCATGAACAGAATTGAAGTTATACCATCAAAACACTGGAACCACTTCTGCCGCTGAGACCTTTGTCCACCCACATCCACCATCTTGAAAGGTATTTTTTTAATGATGAAGTCGTGCTCTACAATTCCCTTGGTAGCTTTCCTAGCCAGCAAAATATCTTGCTTGCTTGGTAAATAATTCTGTAAAAAAAACAAGAAGAGTGGCAAATGTCTCTGTTTACCATTTTAAAATATGAACTATTAGCTAGCATTTGAAGTGTAATGACATGTTATTTTTGTGTTATGACGACTAATAATGCTGATGTTCTAAGAGGCTCTAGTTTAAGAGCTAAATGTTCAGTGCCTAGGTAAAGAACTTGAAAATTAAGTCCAAAATAATGGACTTGTTGACCAACGAACACATACTGAGAAGCTGCTCCTGGAAGATCCTGATGAAACAAGTCTGTAGGCCCATTAAACTCCTTCAAAACATCATTCTGCATCTATAAATTCAACTCTCTAATTTCCTGACCAAAAACTTTTTCATCTTTAGGATATTCTTGCCCACAAAATGACTACCAATTTGGAATGCAGACATCCACCACCACATTAAATGCCTGTTTTAAAACTGAATCTACCAATACATTTGTTTTCAAGATGTTAAACAGTTTTGTAAGCCAAAGCATTTTCTTGAAGCGGATGCTTATTAACAAGCATTAAGCGAAATTCTATTACACATACTGACTGGCCAGTCACCACTATGTACTGGGCCTGCAAATTCCTTTTTCACTGTTCTCCTTTTCAGAAGACTGCAAGTGATAACCCAGAAGGCATTTCACTCTTCCTCTCTTTGAGCCTTGCAAGAACCTAATTTTTTTTCTTTTTTTGCTACTCTAAACATTAGCAACTAATATAACAAGCCATGGTTAGGCAGCAGCAACTACATGGTACAAGTTTCCCACGAATGTTCCAGGCAGTATAAAACTGGGTGTGCTCCTGCTCCCGACACTGTGTGGGAGGAGAGAGAAAGGGAGAGAGATGTGTGTAAACACACAAGCTGTATTCCTTCTTACCATTTGTCAATGCAAAAAGTGAAGCTTAAATTTTAAAAATCAGCCAAGTTTCACAGGTCAGGTTTTAATATGCTTCAAGATGCCATGATTTTCTAAATTAGAGCATGCAATTCTTTTATTACAGTTTTTCAACTGGGATATTAAACTATAGCGTCTGCAAATTTGCATACTCTAACTTTAACCTCAGTGGGATATAAAGTTATGCCTCACCAGCTGGCCAATCCGATCCAGATTATCCAGGAAGTATTTCACCGATTCACCCTGTAGAAAGAGAGAGAGAAATAGGTCTTAATCTCATATCTAGGGTTGCAAATTAAACAGCTGAAAATAATTATTGTTACGTATTTGCTTTTCCACAGGATGACATTTAAAAGTTAGTAAATTAATGCTTAGACTACACTGGGCACGTCTACACGAGACACTCATGTTGCAGTAGAATAACTACTGTGCATTAGCACAGCTGGCAAAAACTGCATTAATATGCAAGAGAATTAATCTACTGCTCGTCAGCATCACATAAGAAACACTTGTCTGTGTTAATCTGCAGTAGCTCCAATTACAGTGTATTAAAGGCAGTACCTGTAATTAGAGGTACTAAATTTGATGCGCCATAATCACGGTGCATTAACAAATGTGTAGATGTGCCCACTGTGATGTATTCAGAGGGGCATAATAAAAACAGCACTGCATATTTTAACTTGAAGCAAACTTTCAGGAATGCAACTGAAGCAGTTTTAACATGACAAGAGAGTAGGCAACAGCATCACTTGTGTCATATCTCCTCTGAATACCATCCTCCACATATTACCTAAAGAAACTGAGAGAGCTTAGTAGAGCAATGGTTTAGAGAATACATACAAGTCTGTATCCTATCAATATTAGTAATACAGTTAGCTACATTTACTGAAAATAGTATGTTTGTTTTAAAACTTCATGCCAAGGTCGGCACCTCTTATGCATTAGCTAGCGGGGGGGGGGGGGGGGGTTTTTTTTTTTTAA